TATAATGAATGCTCTTCCAAGTACAAGAAAAGTGAGCTTGGTTATCCAAGGCGGTGGGACACTGGAAGAACATGTCTTTAATGTCCAAACCTGCTATGCATAGGTAAGAGGAAAGGTAAACAGCATTGATGACTTTGGCAGCTGCTGGGACTGCACTATGAGGCAGACAGGAGACAGAATTTATGCCTTAGTAGTTTTTGGTCAGATGCCAAAACCCATTGGGTTTGTGCACTTGCTGGATGGGGCTGTTAAAAGGGGATTGGGTGCAAGCGAATACTCCCTATTTTTCCAGTTCTGTGAGAAGGGAGGTAATGAGTTTTGGGGCTTGCAAGTTCACAGGGTGTTAATAGCAAGGGTCACTGGAGGTAGGGGAGGTGCTTCTCAGAGTACCCAAATGATGGGGAGTTTTGGTTCAGAAGTACCAGAAGACTGTACTTTCCCTTGAGCATCATGGAAGGTCTGGTCTCTGAGTAGTTCCATATGTGGAAGTAAAACAACTAATGCCTTGTAGGCCTTTGCAGGCCTCTCTAGTTAAGAAATATCTGCAGTGTTACCTAATGGCCTCACTGAGTAAGAGTGACCTGATTATTGGAGTGAAATACTTGTAAAAGGATGTACTGTCTGGAGCTTATCTGAAGTAATCCATATGTTACTATCCTGTTTACGTGACACGTAGCTGTAGTTGTGTGGAAAAACAAGTCATGTAACTCAGAGGTGTATAAACTCTGTCACTGCCCCAACTGGGCAGAGTTTGTGTCAGCAGAGGCAGTCATGCCACTGCTCTGTGTTGTCCCCTGTAGCTACAGTAATGAACTGCTGCTGTTCTGACCTGACCCAAATTGCATTCAGGTTACTCCACCAAGGATGTTAGGACATCCCGAAAACTGCAGATCCTGAGGCCATCTGTCTGTTACTGAAGTCGCACTTAACTGACTATGGGATGGACTGAAGGGGCTCCTGTGAACCCATGGACTACTGCAGAGGGTGAGGGAAGTGGTCCCCTTCAGTGTGATCACCTGAAGGCAGAATTTTGAGTACCCATGAAGACACATAAATGATGTTATCGTTGATGGTGGCAGTCTACCTCTGGATGGGAAGTCCCTCTAAGCTGCACCCTCTATGACACCTGAGAGGGATCAGCAGGTTCTGAGTGGCTCCCCTGGGGTGATAATTTTATGTCTGATAAGTCTGTGTGGTAACCAAAGGCTGTTTTGGGTTTTTTTTTTTTTTTCTCATTACCAGCTGATGAAGTGGTGCGAAGGGTACTAAGGCCCTTGCTAAAGCTCTAGTGGGAAGAGTTGTGGTGGAGGGTGGGGTGGGGCAGTGTTGTTGGCAAAAGCCAGTAAAACAGATGTTGGGATGCTGTGGGCTGCTTGTTTGGGAATGCCTGTGGCCAAACAGGCTTTCCATGCTTCAAGATGCTTTGGGTCAGGGCCCTTTTGCATAGGCTTAGGGGGATTTTTAACTAACTGGACTTGAAGGTGGTAACTATAGCTGCATCTTCACAGAGGAGGGAGGACAGAATGAGCATAGTAGAAACTAACTAAATTTACTAATAGCTGGGACCATGTGGCACTGTGCCTGTAAGGCTAGAGCCTGTTGAGATTAATGGGGTCTGAGTGGACCAGGACCCATCTTGATTAGTGGGTGCTGTGGGGCCTCAGAGGGAAGACAACCCAATAGGGCTGTGGTGGTGCATCCCCACCCCACCCTTTTTTTCTCCTGGACTGCTTTACAATCTCAGGAACTCCTGTTAGATCTTGGCCTTGGTGTAGTGAGTTGGACGATTAAGTGGCACTACCTGTACCAGGAACTCCTACATGGCTGAGACAGGGAGTGAGAGCAGGAACAATGTTATCCCCTGACAGCCTTGGAACATACCTTACCTGGGTCATAACCCAAGTGAAGCAGTACCATCGTTACTGGAATTCCAGTAATTACTGGCCTGGATGAGAATTGGCTAATGACTAAAGCCAGCCATCTCACAACCCTATAAACAGCAGTCCTAAATGAGGCCCTTTGAGCTCTCCCAGACCACAGTGGGCTGTGACCAGCATCTCTCTCTGAGTGGGAAGCAACTCGGAGCTCACAAACTTGAGAGTTTGTGAAAATCAGAGCTCCATTGCTAAAGACCGACCGTGGAGCCTGGGCTGAAATCCTTCACTCCTTGAGGCTTAACCCTTGCCTGTTGAGAAATTAGAGACATTTGATGTGAATATTTCACTGAACTCAAGGGGAACCTTTAACAGGTATACCTATATATATATATAAATATAATCATGTCTGTGTGTATGCATGTGTGAATTGATTTAGGTAATCTGTAGATGTGTGATTTAATTACAAAGTGAGTCTGTCATAATTGTACTTGACTCTGTGAACGTTAAGTTGGTCAATGATTTCAGTGCTGCTAAAAGCCTTGTGGTCCACCTTAAACTGTGAATAAACCTTAGACTGCTGCTAGACACATCTCATCCTTAGACGTAAACCGTTGCCCAAACCTGAGACTCAGATTGGGCTTAGCCACAGCTGGACTCCTCTCTGAGAAGGAGTTTAGAAAGCAAGGGGGTCTATTCTGAACCTTGAGACTCAACAGGAGGGTCCTCCTTATCCTCTACACTCATGGTTTGTTGGTGAATCATTCTAACTCGATTGTAACTTAATTTTCCTTTGTGTGTTTCTTCCATGCAGTAATAGAGTGAACCTTGCCATTTTCAAATCTTTAACTAAGTCGCTGTTTTGATTGAAACAAATTTTGTCGAATCACTTTGTTAACTGACTGATGATTGAGTGCTGTTAAAAACATCACAATCCAGTCCTGTGATTTGCCGTAAGGGCACAAATAAATTCTAAACTGATACTAAATCACATTGCGTAAAGACATGCATTTGTGACAGATTGGTGTAGTTGGCAGGATCCTAAATCGCTCATTCATGACAAAGGCTTCATCTGCCACAGGGGCTATGTCTAAAGTGTGGTTGATAACCAGCCTACCTGTGCTTAATTCCAAATCTGTGGGACTGGCCCAGGGAATAATCAGGGGTCTCAGTCATCTCGGGGTTTTTATCTTTGAGGATATGCCAGTGATGCCTGAAAGATAAGAGTCTGTATTTCCCACTGAAGTTTGTAGTTCGATTCCAGACCCTAAAGGAGGGTGCAGGCTTCTGTTTCTGAAATTGAGATGGTATCCCCCCATCATGTGACGTATTTGCAAGACAGGTTAAATAACCCACAGTAACAGATTTGCGATAGCACTCGCACATGGACGTGGAACTATTGGAGCTGGTCCAGAGGAGGGCTACAAAAATGATCCGAGGGCTGGAGCACCTCTCCTATGAGGACCGGCTGAGAGAGTTGGGCTTGTTCAGCCTGGAGAAGAGAAGGCTGCGGGGAGACCTGATTGCGGCCTTTCAGTACTTAAAGCAAGCCTATAGGAAAGATGGGGAAAATCTTTTTAGTAGGGATGTCTGTGACAGGACAAGGGGTAATGGTTTTAAACTGAAGCAGGGTAGGTTTGGACTGGATAGAAGGAAGAAATTCTTTACAGTGAGGGTGATGAAACACTGGCACAGGTTGCCCAGAGAGGTAGTGGAGGCCCCATCCCTGGAAACATTCAAGGCCAGGTTGGACGGGGCTCTGAGCAGCCTGATCCAGTTAAAGACGTCCCTGCTCACTGCAGGGGGGTTGGACTAGATGACCTCTAGGGTTCCTTTCCAACCCAAACCATTCTACGATTAATTTGGTGAGGTGCATGCCTGTGAAAGAGCACATAGAGAGACAGTTTCGATGCTTCCATTAGCATCATAGTCAGTTTTAATAGTTGGTCTTGTAACCGAGATAATAGTGGTTTTGTTGTGCATTCTTTGATCTGTATCGTAGTTTTTGAAACCAAGATGATGAGATAGTTAAAACTAACGTTATTGCTAAGCTACTGCCCATGTACCCTATCCATTTTAATAACAGGTTAAGGAATGTTTTATGTAACCAAAGTAATAGGTTTATGGTGTGTTTTAGAAACCTTGGTAAAGGGTGTCCTATCTTACATACTTGGGTGCCACAGAGAAAGAAAACAAGTTACATTAACAATGTGCATGCTCGCAAAGAAGAGGTCAACCAAAGGACACACTGGTACCACCACCAGAGACACCCAAAAAAGCCCCTCAGCTTTTAAGGACGCATGCGTAATGACTATGTAAATATGATAATTAGTCACAGGAAATTCAATGCATATGTATGTAACTAGATGATACAAGCTGTGGTTGATGTAACCTGCAGTATGCACGTTAGGTGGAGCGATCCCCCGTGCATCTGGCGCCGTGAATAAAGAATGCCTGCCTTTTAACACTACATTGGTGTTACGAGGTTTATTCTCTATTTTGGTGACAGTCTGATTCATAAGTTTGGTCAGGCTTCAAGAAGGGAGGAATTTGACATATAATTGTCTGAAGTCAAATTGGACCAAATATTTCTGTCCCAATTGTCTTGATCAATATATAAAGCTTTATGTATTTTTTTCAGAAAGTCCCTTTTAGGCAGCTTCTAGCCACCTGTTGAGTTTTTCCTAGGCAGATACTGCCCTCACAGGGACCGTGTGGTGTGCTCATTTCTCCACAGTCACCTGACAGCTTCTAACACAGGCAGAGAGTCTCATCTGTCCCAGCCCAAGTGTTCTGCTGGGCTTGAGATACTCCTTTCTGTAGGGAGAGAACTTGGGCTTCAGCTGCGTTTGAATGGCGCTCGGTATTTCTAAGACCATGAGGTAAGAAATAGGCAGAGTAACTTTCCCTTCGTGCTTTTGTCTTTCTGACTGTCTCTAATCAAAGAAGTGAAGGAAATGGGTAGTTCCCTCTGTAATCTGGTGTCCACAGATGGGGCAAGGCAAGGCACAAATCCGTCAGTTCAGGCACCTGCTGCAAGGCTGGGGCCAGGCACGATGC